AAAAAGAAAATCGGGGACTCATCTGAGTTACAGGATGTCACAGCAGGGGTTCTCTTATTTCCTGAGTCTTTACTGACCTCGGAGGGCGTAGCCAAAATATTGGCTGTTCTCTAGTCCAATGTATCTCTCTAATTTTTGGTCTCTAAACCTCAGCTGTTAAACATCCAGCAGAGAAGATGAATGACATAACATTGTAAGGGAGGCAGTAAGCTTAGTATTACAACTGATCTGAATAGCAAACAGCTTAGAACATACAAATGGAACCACTATTATTTTTTTTTAACAACCATGGATATACTAATATTTAAATCCTCCTAGAATGTTAACAGACACTGAGAGAAGATCAAAAGATGCTGCACTTGGTCCCAAGAAGATTCCTGAGAAGACCTAACTGACCCTGACAGTATATGCTTAAAATTTTTATTTATACAAGTCTCACTTTAACTTGGTTTTAGACATCCAGCAGAAAAGTGTAATCACAAGATGTAAGCTGGTGGCTGACCACTGTTACGGGCTTTGGACTATGTTCTTACTTTTCCAAATTTCCACTGTCATTTTGCAGGGTATTATCATTGTACTTTGCCTGATCCTTGGTCTAGCGAAGTTCATCCAGTCAACGCCCAGAGAAACGGGAAGACAACTGGCGGCTTTCTCCCTGACGCTTCAGAGGACTGCAGCAAAACAAAAGGGAAATGTGGAGGAGGACTTTCTTTAGTTACTCTTTCAGTGTACTGCCTCAGGCCTGAGCAAGCCAGGACTGTTGGGTTCTGGAGGAGGTCTAGCAAAAGCACTGACAGTCTGGGGACAACACTAGATGCTTCGCTGAGATATGCCCGAAGGAAGGTAACATGCTGGCTAACCAGTCTCATTCCTATGAGCACTGAGTTGCATTGTCCTTGCTGAAACAGTTGACATCCTCCCATTCCTCTGCTGCCTCCTTTGTTCTCTGTCAATGAAAGGTTACTGGAAATGGTAATCGGGACTTCAGTCCTAGAGGCTGCCAGCCCCCTGATCCCAGAAAAAAAAAAATTCTATTGTAAGCATGGGTAGAAGAGAACAGTGTGAGATGAGAGTGTCAGAGCTAGAAGACAGGGCTGACGCAGGTAGTCCTATACTCAGAGATATCTTAAAAACAAGCTGGACAAGTGTGTTGGCAAACGCCTGCAATCCCAGCACTTGGAAGGCTGTGGCAGGAGGACCTCTGTGAGTTCAAGGCCAGCCTGAGCCACATACTAAGTTCAAAACCAGCCTCAACTAAATATTTTATAATAGTGAGACCCTGTCTCAAACAAAAACAAGAAAAGAAATCCAAAAAACTAACAACCCAAAGAAAACCCAAGCTATCGTGGAAAATGAATCCAACAGTTGCCAGATGATGAAAAGACTAACTGGAATCAGTAAAAAGTAAGACGGCAGTACGAATGGCACAAAAAGCTGTTTACAGAAGTAAAAGCAGGGGCTGGGGATTTAGCTCAGCGGCAAAGCGTCTGCCTGGCAAGCGCAAGGTCGTGAGTTCAGTTCCTGGTACCGGAGAAAAACCAAAAAAAAAAAAAACAAAAAAAAAACAAAAACAGAAGTAAAAGCAGAGAACATTCCAATTATGGGGATAGAGTTTATCATATAATAAGTGAAGCATATAGAATTCCAAGTAGCCACGATTAGAAAAGAACTTTGCATGACACATTATAGGCAAAATTCCAGATGTTCAACACAAGGGCAGACTCTTAAAAGCTATTAGAGAAAAGCCACAAATCACTGATAAAGGTAAACCAGCTAGAATTATACAGGACTTCTCAACACAAACCTTAAAGGCTAGGAGAGCTTGGGGTGAAGGGTTTTGAGCCCTAAAAGAAAACAACTTCCAACTCAGACAGATGTAGATGGAGAAATAAAAGTATTTCCACGGCAAAGAGCATCTCAGGAAATTCACGATCACCAACGCTATGCTCCAAAAAATTCTAGAGACAATAAAGCCAACAATGCACAAAAAAAAATATACAGTGGAATGAATACATTAAATTGGGTGAGAGTTAAGCAGAAAGAAAAAAAAGTATCAGCAACAGGAAAACAAAGCAATGACAGGAATTAATGAACATTTTTTGATAAGAACTTGCATTGCAATGTTATTGGTCTCAACTCCCCAGTCAAAAGACTGAGTCTGGCATATTAGATCAGGACACAAAACCCAACAATCACTGAATGTAAGAAACGCATTTAATCCAAAAAGACATTCATAGGCAAAAAACCAAAGGACAGGAAACAATGTTCTATGCAACAGAAGCCGGAAAACAAGCAGTAGTAGCTATACTATTTTCAGACAAAGGGAACTTCAAGCCCACACTGGTCAGAAGAGGCAAAGAAAGCCGTGATGCATTACTAAAGAAGCACAAATCCGAGTCATCTGTAGGAAACTGGGTGCACTTTGAGACAACAATGTTCACTGCAATAAACTGGAGGCACAGGCCACATTGTGCGGTTCCTTTTACATGGACACCCAAAGTCTAAACAAAGAGCAAAATAAAAAGACAGGTAACGGGACACTGGGAGGTAGAGCTAGGGCGGACTGGGAGGAGGATGAGGAGACGCAGGGAGGGGGGAGACCGGAGGAAGGTGAAAGTGCAAGAACCGAGATGTGTTTTGCATGCATGTACAAGTCCCCACGATGCATGAGATCAGCATGTGCTGCACACACGTACTAACGAGAGTTTTATAAAGATCAGACGTTTTATTCCAGTAAGATCTTTGTAAATAAGTTAAACTGTTTCATGATCAGCAAATGCTCACTGAGAATGTCACAATGAAGCTGGTTGTGCTGGTGCACGCCTGTAATCCCTGAACTCTGGAGGCTGAGGCAGGAGAATTGCTCCAAGTTCAAGGCCAAGCTGGAGACATGATGAGTTCAAGGCCAGTGGGAATGACATAGCGAGACCCTGTCTCAAGGCAAAACAAACAAAACCGAAGAAGAAACAATAAAGAAAATGCTATAATGAAATCTTCATAACAATGAATTAATAATTTAGAATCTAGCTTTTATCACATCAGTGGGTATTTTTCTATCCTATGACAATGCCTAATGGAAAGTGTATCATTCTGAGGGCAGAGTTTGGGAGATGAACAGGAGCCATGAGGAGAAGTAAGGCTCCTCCTAAGAAATAAAAATAAAGTTGTTCTATGAGGAATAGCAGGCCAAGTAACAGGAAAAGCTCTTTCAAAAGACAGAACGAGGCTGGGTATGGTGGTGTACTCCTGTAATCCCAGCACTTGGGAGGCTGAGGCAGGAGGATCACTCCAAGTTTGAGGCCAGCCCGAATTATATAACTACACAGTGAGATCCTGTCTCAAAAACAAAACAGAACAAAAACAGAATGGGCATCCAGCTAGCATGTAACACATTAATATGTGTCAATAAGGTATCTGTGGGTAGGCATTTGGCAGAGAGATATTAGAAAGGAAACAGAAAAGAAAGCGCTGAGAGTGAGGAAGATTTTACGCATTTGAGTGATAGCAAAAACGGCCGAAGGATTTGTACGGTGATTTCTATGTGCCAGATACTGAAGTACTGAACATCTATTAATGCACGTACTCTTTAAAACTATCTTGTGAAACAGGAACTGTTATTTTGCCTGACTTTAACCTTGAGGAAGCCCTGGCCCAGGAAGGATAACAAACTGAGGTCACAGATGTAGGTGGCAGAGCTGGAATAGTCTGTCTCTGCGGTCAGTACCTTAGTCTCACTGCTGCAGGGCTTCATCAGGCTGGCCGGAAGTGCAGTTTGCCTTGCATGTGTTCCGATCCTGAACTCAAATTATGTACAACGCTACTGACTCAGTGGTGTCACAGAGAACTCCTGCTTACCTTCTGAACCAACTGGAGCTGGAAGCACTCCACATAATTAAGTCCCATGCACTGACTGCATATTTAATCAAATATACATGGTATTTATAGTCTGTCTGAATGGAACGAAATGTGCCAGTGAAGCCAATGTAAGCGGACACCTGACTGACCCTTCTGTTCCATCCTCAGTTACGTACCTGTCTTCTGGGTTACATTCTTTGGACACGCAAACTGGTAAGAATCAGCGTTCCTGAGCCTGATCAGCCCGGTACACTGATAACACACTTTATACTGCTGCCTCGGAAGCACCACGAGGTTGCAGTTAAATAACAGAAATAGGCTGCAAATTTAAAGAATAAGCGCAGCAGTGAAAATCCAGATACAATTGTAGTTTTTTCTCTCTTGATTTCAGGGGTAAAAAAAATGGAATCCTAGTAGAAATTAGAAGCTTTGGTTCATGTATTTTTTCCCCCAACAATATAGTTTTTACATGCAATAAGCATTTTAAGATAATTATTTCCATTATTTCAATAAGAAGCAAACTCTCATAAAATATTTTATATGATGAAATTATCATAACTTTTCTAAATAAAGTGATCTTAATTATATTTGGAAATACTCAAAAATTATACAGTCACAGATAAAAATTTTATAAAAGTAAAAAAACCCCAAAAGTCTTTGCAAAATATTGATTTTTACTGAATCTTTAAAAAAAAAAAAAGATTTTTAAGTATTGCAGAAAAATTGTAATCCATTATCATTAAATTCTGAGAGAACTCACATGTGTGTCTTAGTAAATAAAAATTTCAAAAGTAAAATGGTACAAAATATGGAGTATGAACTTTCCAGATAGTCACATAAAAATAAAAGAGACAAAAAGTGATGTATTTTGTTGTTGTTGTTTTTTTCTGGTACCGGGAATCGAACTCATGACCTTGCATTTGCCAGGCAGGCGCTGTGCCGCTGAGCTAAATCCCCAGCCCCGAGATGTATTTTGTAATATACAATTCCATTAGAAGTAAACTTTAACTACGAATATATATTCACAAGATTTATTTCTCTATTTTCACTAGCTCAAATGGAAACGTTCCATACAGATATACTTTCTTATAGTATTTACGTGAAATACACCAACACAACAGAGGTTCTGGTTGCACGACTCATACCTGTAATGTGTTCTTCCCACAGCTGACCTTCCTTCCCTCCACTGGGCTGTCACATCAGGGGGATCAAGTGAGCCTTCAAAAATATGCTCCCAGAGATATAAACCTGGGCATCCAAAAGCAAAGACATGAAACATAAAACATTTACTCTTTTGCATACCCCACTGTGTAAAAAGAGCTTACGTTCTGTTCTTTCATGGATCTGACTATGAAACAGGGTGTCCCCCTTTGGTCAGTGGGCAGGCAGTGCTCCCAAGCAAATGCTCAAAATCAACACTATGGCAGCTAACGTATCAGAGAAAATGCAGGGGCTTCCAGTGTAAAACGTGGCTAACTGTGGATTATATTAAAGACAGTAATCTCCCTGCCTCTAGATTTGAGAAACCCCTAGTACACTGGGCCCTTATTACCTGTTTTATTCTAAAATGAATGTATTACATTACAAAAAACCTGTATGATCCAGGCATGATGACACATACCTGTAATCCCAGCACTCAAGAGGCTGAGGCAGGAGGATCGTTGCTAGTTCCAGACCAGCCTGGGCTACAAAGGGAGCTCAAGACCAGCCTGAACTGCATAGTGAGACCCTGTCTCAAAAAGACAAAAAAAACCCCCCAAACCCAAAAAAGCCCACACCAAACCTGTGCAATTAGACTTGTTTTGATAAATAGAGGACTTAAAATTGGCGGAATACAACCAGAGGAGCACACAGACAAGCACTCAGTGTCAAGGAGAGAGCACCTCCTCTCCTCGAACCGCTTTCCAGCTGCACGACACCTGTTGCAAACGCTACTTCAGCTACTTCACCTCGGCTCCATGGGGCGGTCCAAAGGGTTATCATAATTTCATCTGAATGAAAGCTTTAAGAACAGAAGACAGCAGCAGCACCACACACCGAGGTAGTACTGAGACCACTGACACCCTTGGGGTCTCCGTTTAGTTACACCAAGAGGCGTATTTTGTTCTATTCTCATCACACCCCGGCACTAAAAGATTCTTCAACAACCACATTTAAACACCTGGCCAATCAGGTAAGTCTTTCCACGTGCGGTAAGCTCACTAACGCTTCTTCCCCAAGGTTTGCCTGATCTCCCCTTTGTGCACGTTATCTTTCACGGCAAAAGACATTTTCCTAAAGTGATCAGATTAAGGATGCTGACGTGGAAAGACTCCTGTGGATCATCTGAAGGTTCTACATTATCACCACGGTTCTCACCGGGCAAGGCAGACAGGTCAGCATGAGGGAAAATACGAACACAGAAAGAGAGGTCCGAGTCCCGTGGGGCCATCAATCAAGGAACACGTGGAGTGTCCAGAAACTGAAACCACAAGGAAACGGGTTCTGCTGCAGAGTCCCCCATACAAAGCTCTGGGGACACTGGAGACCTCGGTCTTTACACAAGTAGGACAGCAAAGTTGCGGTAATATGTTTTGGCAGCTACAGGAAACTTCAGTTTATACAGATAACGTACGGTGCCTGGCAGTGAGATGCTGCTACAACAAATACTTTAAAAGGTGGCAGTGGCTTTGGAATTGAGAAATGAGGGGAGGCTGGAAGAATTTTGGAGAGTATGATTAAAAAATCCTAGGTTAGACTGCACTGAACAGACTGAAGGTAGAAACACACATTAATGACTCAGTTAGTGAAGACACAAAAAAGTGAGGAAAGGAGACTGCCTTCAGAACACCCTGACTGTCATAAGCAGAGTGCTAGCAGCTAAAGGCAGCCCTGAAGGCTCAGAAGGAAATGAACAACGTGTGATTAGCAGCGGGAGGACAGAGGTCCTTGTAACTGCAAAAACCTTTGCTGAACTGTGCCCTGTTATCACGTGTAAAGCAGAACGTGTACACAATAAACCTGTACGCTTAGCTGAAGAGATTTCTAAGCAAAGTGCTAAAGATGTGAACTGGTTTCCTCGGGCTCATTATAAAATATAAGAGAAAAAAGTGAATGAGGAAAGACATGTCATGCAAAAGTAAGGCCAGGACTTGATGACCTGGAATATTCTCGGGTTATCCAGATCGCAAGAGCAGGAGATTTACTTCCTATCAGGAAGGCCGATGACGTGGCCAGGCAACACTTTGCTGGTGTTTTCACAAGGATCAGATGAGGACGGTCATTCCCAAAAGGGATTCTTAGAAGGCTTTATGTGTACGATTTATGGATCTTTTCAACCCTTTCAGCAGAGGTCAGAACCAGGTCAGAAACAGAGAGGGGGTTCCTCAGGCAGAAGGTCTGTGAACTTCTTGTCTCATTGAGTGAATCCTCATGGAATACACAGGAGACTAATTCTTGAGACTGTTACAGCAGCAGAAACCTCGGACTACAAGTGACAGAGAGAGACTGGAATGAAAGGAAGGCTGCTGGGCTCCCAGAATTCCCTGAGTAGGAAACAGGCTGATGAACCTACTGAGCTACAATCATGTGTCACCAAAAAATAAAAAAAAAAAGGTGACTCCACTAATGGAGTTAAGGCGCCAGAAGGCAAAACTGTGGACGAGAGATTATTCTCGGGCCTTAAAACCTCATGGGGTGTGCCAGGCTGGACTTCCTTCTCACTTCCATTTCCTGCCTTTTGGCCTAGGAATGTCTGTAACGGATACCCTCCGACTGTACTTGGGGAATAAATTAAAAAGGCACATCTGGTAAAGTTCATCCGGCTACTCTGTGCTGACGGATTGAGAAGCGGAAGGTCTGGAAACACGAAAATCTGCTAAGAGGTAAAACGATTTAAAAACCAGAATGGGGATGCGGAAAAGAGTTAAAGGAAGAAATCAGTACTAGAGTCTATTTAACAAAAAATTGCCAGAACTTGATGAATACAGGCCTGGGTCTGGTTACTTGAAATTTAGAGCACAGTAGTAATCTCTGAGGGCACATAACTGCATGTCAGCATATATTAATTATGGAAAACCATGAGTCAGGCACTATGCCGTTTGCTTTTATTTAGTACTTATTATTCATACCTATTGTAATAAATCCAGCTCATGCTCAAAGGGCAAATAAAGCCCCCGCTTTTCACTGAATTCTAATTCTTCAGCCTTCACCAGGTCTCTGAGCAATGGAACACTGGACTCGCATGATACTCAGAGCAGAAATACATGTGGTCAATCACGTTTAGTCAACGATGTATGCTATCCCCTGGCCGGATACTCACGCTGAACACCGGCACTGAGAAAGGACCGCAAAGAAGGACTTTATTTAACTTTGTTCCGTTCAGGGCTTCCCAGACTTGTTTGGCCATTAACAGCAGGGCCACATCTTACCCTTGTGTGTCAAGTATCCAATAAACACACCAACTCATGGAAGTCCAGGCAACACCCGCATTACACGTAATGTTGCCACACAACCTACTCTGCATCTAGAAACAAAGGCTTGCTCTGCTGAGGGCCAGTAATACAGTGACCGTGGACACAGATACTGTCTAACGGCAAGAACCACTGAAAAGAGTGGAAAAAAAATGCATTATGACGCCTGGATAAACAATGATGAACCTTAAAGTTCGTTTCAAAATGTTTTTCACATGTCTTTGCTGTGTACATTATCTTACCAATGGCAGCCTTGCCCCAGATTTGTACTTTGTGGTCTGTTTTTTCTTTCGTTGATTTATTTAATATTTGAAGGCTCGTTTTAACTCTGTGTCGGTGCTCAAGTTTTTCATCTCCTTCCCAAGGATTCCATTCTTCGCTTCCCAAAGTAGATTCTGTTTTTAAAAGAGCCACAGGGTCTACCAGTAAGTTATAAAGGCTACTGTAGATAAATTCAAGTCATTTAAATTAACATTTAAAGTAGATGCTCGAGAGCTCTAATTTCACCCTAACTTCAATTTTTCATGAAACAGGACAAGTATTTCCCCGCAAACAAAACTTTAGATCAATCAGGTGTGGTGGCTGGTGGCACACACATCTGATCCCAGCACTGGGTAGGCTGAGGCGGGAGGACCACCGTGAGTTCGAGGACAGCCTGGGTCACATAGTTTAAAACCAGCCTGCACTATGTAACCAGAACCTGTCCCACCCCTCCCCAAACAGAAACAACTGAATACATTTACATGTTTAGATTTTTTTTTTGAGATAGGGTATTGCTATGTAGGCCACGTTGGCCTCCAACTCAAGACGCTCCTGCCCCTATGGCCCCAGTGCGGCCGCCCCCAGCCAGGGTTCACTTCTGCAGGTCTTTATAGATTGTGTCCGTGTAACCTGCGCATAATTCGGAATGTAGCGTCCCCGTTTCAGGTCCTGTTGTGGAAAATACTGAATAAAGGGAGAGATAAACTGAATCAGAGGCCAGCGCAAGTGAAAAATACAGGACAGGGGGCAATTTAACCACAGCCCGTCTCAAACACAAAACAGGACGGGGGCTGGAGCTCGTGCTTAGGCGACGTGGCCGTCCAGTCCGCACCAGTGAAGTCCAGCGCGTTCCAGCCTGTTTCTTTTTCTTTTTGAGGCAGGGTCTCGCTGTGCAGTTCAGGCTGGCCTTGAGCTCACTTTGTAGCCCAGGCTGGCCTTGAGCACCCAACGATCCTCCTGTCTCGGCCTCCCGAGCGCTGGGATGACAGGCGTGCGCCCCACGCCCGGCTCCAGGGCGTTTCAGGCC